ATATGGACAAGATTAAAGGGAAACTCACAAAGGATGAGAAATCAACAACCAGTCTGCAACAACAGAAAGCTATTCCCACCCCAGGACTTCAGGAGTGAGGGGCAGGCTCACTGGTGAAGCCTGAAGAGGCTGTAGCTCAAGAACAAATGGACCATCTAGTAGGACCTGTCCACAGGTAGAAAGTCCAGTCATGGCCAAGTCGTGCCTGATTGAGTGGGTCCTACATACCCCAGCGCTCTGCTCAAGCTCTGAGTTCCCTCAGAGGACTCCTGCTGTCAAGGCAGCTTCATTGTGGGGTCCAGCTTCTGGAAATGGTGAGGGGAAACGTTGGAGAATAGATCTGGCAAATGGAGAATATTGGACACAAATAACTTAAGGATAGTACTTACCTTAAGAAATGTATCATTGTTATTACTTTAGGGATGTATTGGAGATGTCCACGAGAGCACAGTGATTTTTCTGGAGCAATGTGAGAAGTGTTCTTTCTCTGTTTTTGTTTCTTTCTCGTCTCTCTGTTGTTTCCTGTGTGTGTGTGTGTGTGTGTGTGTGTGTGTGTGTGTGTGTGTTCAGTTTTTCTTTCTCTATATATACACTAGTACATCTATGATTTATCTGAGTAGTATTTGTATCCTCGTGAAAACCTGACGTATTTTTCTTACGTGGATTGTGAACTGATCGTGTTTTCACTGTTTGCATCAGTGTATTTTGAACATGAGATTTACCTGTGGTAAAACTTGCTTCCCTCTGTAACTTATTTTCCTTACCTGTCTTTTGTATTCCCTTTATCATGTTAGTCTTAAATTTTTATAAGCTAACTCAAATTCTTTACATATTTTTAAATATATTATTTTTTATACTTGTACTAGTAACAATATTGCCATATTTATTAGTGGCAGTATTCTATAAGTCCCAAGCAATACCAAGTTATTGTCAAAGGATAAACATGCATAACATAATTTATTAGTAATATACTTTTCCTATGCCCCACTAAGGCCATCAAATGCCCACTCTTTTTACTGGAGTTTGTATTGTGTTCATAGCTACCAATATCATTTGAGATGCTGCTTAAGCTTACAATAACAGAATATCTAAATAATTAATTCACTTCATAATCATTTATATATTTACTCTTTTTGGCATGCAATCTAAGCACCTACTATATTTTTATTTTATTTTCACATGATTTGTCAAATACCAATCAATAAATGCACCTTATTCTATTAGTCAGTGTAATTATAATTTTTCCCTTTTGTGATGCTTTTTTTCTACTATAGTTAAATTTCTTATGTGAAATTTAATTTATGATGATAATAATTAAATTTATATGTACTTATATAGAGAGGATGATTAATAAGATGAGTATAGAAAGATGTTCTCATGACTTGAGCTACCTTATAAATTGTATCCTCTAATCCCCACCCAAAGAGCAAGATTTGTTTTTAATTTGAAGGTAAGAGGCCATTTGTTTTGGTCTTCTGGTTTGTTTGGTTTAATTAGTTACAATAACTAATGTTTATAATTATAATAGAAAAAAGTCCCCACACTAGTCTTATCATTGGATAGAATTCTTCAACCAGATACTTATGCTCCAATGTCAAAGAACGTAAAATAAATTTCAATTCATTCATATGTTCTAAAAAGAAAAGAAAATAATAAGTTTATGGGAGAAAGGCATAATTTATCTTCCCAATTCCTTTCCTTGTACTCCCATTATTTAAAAACATATATTAGTGAATCAGCTAAAGAACCTTTGTCAAACAAATTTAGATCTTGAATGAAACTTTTCTTTAATACTAATTCTGTCCAGACTCTTACTTTTTAAAAATATATTGATTTCAGAGAGGAAAAGAGAGAGAGAAATAGAAACATCAATGATGAGAGTCATTGATCAGCTGCCTCCTGCACATCCCCTAGTGTCAAAGCGTGACCAGGAGTCAAACCATGACTTCCTGGTTCATAGGTCAATAGTCAACCACTGAGCCATGCCAGCCAAGAGAGACTCTTACCTTTATTTGAGTTATGGCCTGAGCTGATGCTTCAGAATATAACCTGGTAAGAACTAAGAGAATGACCCTTTTTGAATATCTTCAGGCCCAGTGGAAGCTAGACAATTCATCTCACCTGAGGAAGAAAAAACATTTTGTAAACTGTTACACTATGAGCTTAAGGTATTGCAAGCATTTAATATTTTTATTGGAATTTACAGGTGTGGATTTTAAATAATTAAATGCTTATAGATCACTTTTATGATAATGAATCATACAGATTTTTCCAAAGACTATGTGTTGTCACTTCTTTGGGGGGAAAGTGATTATTGTTTATGTTCAGAAATCTGTAGGCTGAAGAGTAGAGGTAGTGGTTTGGTTTTGGTTTCTCCTTACTCTGTGATATTATTGTACTAATTAGAAATTTTTTTACTTATTCCACTTTGTGACCCATTGTTCTCAGCCTATACCAGTGATGTTGAATGTTATTTTGCCCTGTCACTCCATAAACTTGAGGGCTACTTTAAAAGGGAAAACACTCAAGATGAATATTTAATTTTTTTGTTGCTGATGTTATTTATTTTACAAACCTTTATGTATTTTATCATATATTCTGAAAACCAGTTTTATTTATATATTTTCCATAAATGTGATCTTGATTCTGTGGTCTTTGGTAAACTGTTTACAATAATTATATCATTTTTTTTTCTTTAATTTAAAGACCATTTATGCCAATTAATCATAAATATATATTGTCAGAATTCAGTATTTTCTCTCCTGATTGATTATAGTACTCACCATCATTTTCTCCATGTTAAATATTCTAGATAAATCTTTTAAAGTTTAATACTTCTATTTTCCCTGTTTTAGTATTCACAGTGCCAGGTATAATAATGTACGCAAAATACTAGTAAATCACTTTAAACAAAACAAAGTAAAAATAAACAGGACATAATTATTTAAAGAAAGGCAACACTCGCTGATTTGGGCAAAGATTAATCCTAAACCAGTTGCATACTTGGTTTGAAGTTGCCTTGCCTTGTTAACCATGTTTGGGGAACTTGCCACAATGATTGGATTGGGTTTCTGGGCAATTTTCAAGTGGGACTCAGCTGGGTTGTGAAAGCTGACTAATGTGTTGATGAGAGTGTTGAAAAAATACGGCAGGCTTCGCTGTATGATAAGTTATGCTTGCCCTACTACTGACATCTTCACTGTGATGGGCTAACAGGTGTGCTAGAGGAAGCAGTAGGTACTCAGTAATGTTAGAAGTCTAAGATTCATGTAGCTGAATGTCTAACCCAGATGTGTATAAGGACAGGTGATTTGTCTCACAAGGCTTTTCTCTCACGGGTGATTTTTCCCCCACGTCACATTAAAACCAGGTGGATTAATTTGAAGATCATACTCACAGATGGCACTTTTCAAGCCATTGCTAAAGTATCTCATCTATTCTGAAACTGGGCACATTGGTTGGAAAGCTGTTGCTTTTCATGTTGTTGTTATTAATAGGATCAATTTGGTAATTGCATTTTCTTCTGTTTGGCTTGGGAATTGTGTCATATATATGTAAATTTCCAAACAGAATCTACAGTGAAAAAAATATAAAAAACAAACATAAACTTCCAATCTACAACTAGCCTGAGGACATCATAGGCCTCCCAAATTAGTATTCTATAGCCCACTCTTCTCCTTCAGTTTTAAATAAATACGAGTGAAAAAATATTGTAGACAATTCTATGAATAACACTGAGACTGGCCCTTTGCCCATAGCTGACAAACACTAAAACAAACCATTCATAGTTCTGCATAGAGTTAAATAACATGGAGGCTATACATAAAAAGTAATTGTCAAGAATAAGCTTTTCTTTTAAATTTATTATTGATTATATTTTAAAGAAATAAAATAGAACCTAGCTTATCAAAAGTATACTTAGTTTGTACATAGATTATTACTAATTAGGAGAGGATAGAATCTCTATATATATAAAGCCAATGACCATAATGCCATAAAGACCAGAATGATTGGTCACTATGACGCCCACTGTGGCCAGCGAACCAACCAGATCAGGGGGTGGGACTAGCCATCCAACTTCCCGCTGCCCCTTCTTCCATCCCTCCCCCCTATTGGCCTGCCCCTAATTGGACTTTCTACCCTCATCAAGGGTGAGGCTGGCTGGCCAAATGTCCCCCAACCTTTCCCCAGCCAGTCCCACCCCTGATTAGTCCACCCCACCATGATAGGCCTGCAGCCCCTCCCCCAGCCAGCCCCACCCCAAAGGGCACCCACCACCCTGATCGGACCCCAGCCCCTTCCCCCAGCTAGCTCCATTCCAAATCAACCCCCCGCCTCTGATCAGGGGAAGGGCCAGCCCACCACCCTTGGCCCCTCCCCAGGCTGCTGGCCCCCAATTATCCCCTCACCCCATTTGGGGGCAGGGCTGGCTGGCCCATTATCTACACCCCTCCCCACAGCCAGCCCCACCTGCAATAAGCACCCACTACCTTAATTTGACAACCTCCCACCATCTCCTCCTCCTGGCAGGCCCAGCCCTGATCTGCCCTGATTGGGGCCAGACCAGCTGGACCCCACCTCTGAATGAATTAGTGCACCGGGCCTCTAGTTATTTATAAATTTCTAGTAGTTTTATTCTTTTTATCTTTTCAAGGATTTTCTTTCTGGAAAAACATTCACTTTTAATTTTATTCTCAAATTTTCTGTATATTTGTAGATGCGAATATATATACATATATAATATATATTATATATATTATATATACAATGTATGTGTGTTTGTTTGCACACATGTAGATATATACATATATAGACATGTGTTTGTATTTATATATCTTAATATTTGAAATATATGTTTATATACATAAATAGAAGTTCTTATGATGTGATATTCTTATATCTATAGTGTTTAATTTATTGTTACATATAACGATGTACATTATTGGTACTATACAAGCTCTCTGGCTCTAAATGTAAATTTTAATTTTGTTTCCAACTAGAGAATATTATATCACAATGGTTAAATGGGTAAGCAATACCAAGACGGTGGTCAGATGGTTAAACCGACCTCAGAACATTTCCATCCTCACAGTCTGTGAGACCACAACTGGTGCTTGTAGTAGAGTGAGTATAATTTACATTTCTTGTATGCTTAAATTGATATAATTTATTTTTATTTTACATTTTTACAGCTGTTTAGTATTCCATTTTGTAATTGTACCAGGAAAGAAGGGGGAAGGGGTATAGGAATAGGTCAACCAAAGAACTTGTATGCATAACCCATGGACACAGACAGTAGGGTGGTGAAGGCCTGGGGCAGGGAGAGGAGTAGGCTAGAAGAGGTCAATATGGGGTAGGGGGAGGGACATATGTAATGCTTTCAACAATTAGGTTTTTTAAAGGTTTATTATGTAGTATAAAGGGCAGCCAAAGCCATGATAATGTCATTTTCAAATTTGGGAAGTGTTAATATTTAGACTTTGATTTATTTGAAAATATAGAATGCTTCTTTCATGCTTTCTTTAAATATATTTCAAAATTCAATTATTTGTAATTTAGATTCTTTTTCTAAAATAACATATAGTATCTCTGTCCTTAAATTAAGTAAAAATAGTTTAAAAAATGGTTTTGGAACTACTGTGTTTTGAAATCAGGTTGTATTTAGATTTCTGTAATCAATTTTTATTAACTGTAGTAAATTTTGTATGTGTAATTTTAAATTCCTAGTGGAAGAAATACTGTAATCCATTTAAATTGTTATATACTTGGTACTTGATAAAGGATTCCCAATTACATAATGACAGAATTTTCAAATTTCTATCTTTGGACAAGATGGAATAAATGTTATCAGGCTAGCCTCTTTGATGTAATATAAAACTGTATAAAAATATTAAAAATCTACTTCCAGATGTTGGACATCAGGAGAATTAAAAAATAAATGGAGAAATAAACTTAATACAAAATATGAGCATTGATATGACTTCTCATTGGTAACAGTTTTGAGACCACAGTGCAATGGATATGGTGCCCAAGAAAGGTGCAGTGGAATCCCTGCTTCAAGAAGACAGGAAGAATCACAGTTTGAGACTATTGTGGTTGAAATTTGAAAGACAAGTAAAAAAATTGGAGCTAAATAGAGAAGAATTCAAGCAATCTATTTAAAAAAAACTCTAAAATCTTTAGTTTGTTGCTTCCCTGTACAAGTACAAGATATACCAAAAAAATTTAAAAAATTAAAGAGAGAAACTGCATTTTAAAAAATAAAACTGTAATTTAAAAAATTTAAAACAAAACAGTCCATTTAACATTTCTTGCATTGTTGGTTTGGTGGTAATAAACTCCATTACCTTTTTTTTTGGTCTGTGAAGCTCCTGATTTCCCCTTCAATTTTGAATGGTATACTTATTGGATAGAGTATGCTTGGATTCAGTCCCTTGATTTGTATACTTTGTTTCATTCCCTTCTGGATTAATGTGCTTCTGCTGAGAAATCAGTTGATAGTCTAATGGGAGATCCCTTGTAGGTAACTCTATCTCTCCCTTTGCAGCCTTTAAAATTATTTCTTTGTCTTTTACCTTTGCCAGTTTAATTATGATGTGTCTTGGTATTGTCTTTTTGGGTTCATCTTGATTGAGACTCTGTGCTTCTTAGACTTCTGTGATTTTTTTCTTACCAAAGTCAGGAACATTTTCTATCATTATTTTTTCAAACAAGTTTTCTATTACTTGCTCACTTCCTCTCCTTCTGGCATCCCTATTATGTGGATGTTGTTTCATTTCATGTTGTCCCAAAGCTCCCTTAGACTATCCTCCTGAATTTTAATTTTTTTCAGTTCCATCTCTGCTTGTGTTTTTCTACCTTGTTCTCTAACTCACTGATTTAGTATTCAGCTTTGAGTCTACTGTTGATACCTTCCATTGTGTTCTTTATTACACCTATATTATTCTTCATTTTCACTTGAATTTTACTCATGTTGATGAATTTTCATTGAGCTCCTTATAATTTTCAATGAATTGTCTGTATTTCTGACCCAGACATTTGAGCATCCTTTTAACCATTATTCTGAATTCTTTATCTGACAAATTATTTGCCTTCATTTCATTTAGTTTCTTTTCTGGTGATTCCTCCTCTCTCTTTTTGGGGATTGTTGCTTTGTCTCCCCATTTTACCTGTTCCTTTGTAATTGTTTCTATATATTATATTAAAGTGCTATGCCACCCAGATTTTTGGGTTGGTCTTATGTAATATAGTGTTTCCCCGAAAATAAGACATCCTTAGAAAATAAGACCTAGGGCATGGAAAGATAAGACATCCCCTGAAAATAAGACCTAGCACAACTTTGGGAGAAAAAATTAATATAAGACACTGTCTTATTTTCAGGGAAACAGGGTAGATGTTTTGTGGGACCCAGTGGTGCATGCTCTCATATCTCCTGGGCTGGACATTCTACAGAGGCCCCCTACATGAGATATTTGAATTTTCCTGACGCTTTTGGATCTTGAATGTCATTGTTCCCTTCATAGATGGAGTCTCCTCTTGTGGTGTATATATACCCTTATTTTAATAGCAGCACAATTTATAATAGCTAAGACTTGGAAACAGCCTAAGTGCCTATCAGCAGATGAGTGAATTAAGAAACTATGGTACATTTACACAATGGAATACTATCTACACTAGTAAATGAGAAAGATGCAAATTGATTGTACTGTCACAATGCCCACCAGCCAATTAGGAGTGAATATTCAAATTAACCAAACAAAGATGGCCATTTAATTTGCATACACAGGCACTGAGCTGCCTGGGGCAGGACAGGATGCTTGGGTAATCACCACGCTTGCACTGACACGAGTGCTCTGCACTGCCCAAGCCACTCAGGGCCTCTAGGCAGCTTAGAAAGGTGGGGCTGGAGAGGAAAGAGGTAGCTCTGGGCCTGATTGGAAAGGCAGTGCCAGCAGCAGGGAAAAGAAGGAAGGCCCATTCTTGCACGAATCGTCATGTATCGGACTTCTAGTGTGGCAATAAAAAAAGAAAGAACTCTTACCATTTACAACAGCATAGGTGGCTCTGGAGAGTATTATGCTGAGCATAATAATCCAGTCAGATAAAGATAATTATCACATGATCTCACTCATATGTGAAATCTAATGAACCAAATAAACTAATGATGAAAAATAGACCCAAATAAAGAGAAGTATGAACATACTGTTGAAACTCAGAGGGAAAGCAGGGGAAGGTGGGTGGAAAGAGATCACCCAATGAACTTGTATGCTCATATTCATAAACCATGGACATAGAAAATAGGGTGGTGAGGGCCTGGATGTGGGGGGGACAGCAATGGGCTGGAAGTGGTTAATATGGGAAAAGGAAAAGCTGTATAATACTTTCAACAATAAAGATAAAAAAATAAATTAATTTAAAAATAAAATAAAAATAAATAATTTAATGTAAAAGAAAAAAGAAATTTGTTGAGAACAAGGGAAATTAAGTATTGATTGAATATTGGACTATATAATTGAATATTTATTAATTTTGGTAAGTGTGATAATTGTCTTATTGCTATTTAAAGATATATATTAAAAATGAATGATGAATTTACAGGTGAAATAATATGATATTTGAGACTTATTTTAAAATAATTTAATGATAAAGTATGGGAGGGTTGATGAAATAAAAGATGGTGTATTTTTGATAATTTTTGAAGTGGGTGATGGGTCTATGAGAGATTATTATGCCCTTGTCTTAATTTTTGTGTACGTTTCAAATGTAAAAATATAAAATAAATTATAAAATAAGCTGAAAATAATAAAAATCATTGGAATGCATATATATAGAAGTTGAAACCAGCTTATCATCTTTTCTACTGGATGATAATTTATGCAGGTAACAGCAAATATATGTTAAACTGCTTCAATAAAGAAATAGACATGGGAACCTTAACATATTATTGACTTGATACATTATTGGTGTCCTACTGTATTTAATTCCATTTATAGAGTTAAAATATTTTACTTTCTACTATAAATGAAATAAGTAATTGCATGTGAAATTTTGGAATCTCATGGATTCTAATAATACTTAGTGATATTAGTAGTCAATGAAAATTGATGTTTTATTCTATGTTTTTTAAAATAAAACTAGAGGCCCACTGCATAAAATTCGTGCACGGCGGTATGTGTCCCTTAGCCCAGCTGGTACCCTCTCCAATCTGGGATCCTTTGAGGGATGTGTGACTGCCCCTTTAGGCCTGATCCTACCTGAATCGGGCCTAAACGGGCAGTCAGACATCCCTCTCACAATCCAGGACTGCTGGCACACAACTGCTCACCTGTCTGCCTTCCTGATTATCCCTAATTCTTCTGCCTGCCAGCCTAATAACCTCTAACCACTTCATGACAGCCTGATTTATGTCTAACTGCTCCCCTGCCAGCCTGTTTGCTCCTAACTTCCCTCCCTTACAGACCTGGTCTCTCTCAATGCCCTTCCTTGAAGGCCAGGTCCCTTCCAACTGCCCTCCCCTGCTGGCCATCTTGTGGTGGCCCTCTTGTGTCCACATGGGGGCAGGATCTTTAACCACATGGGGATAGCCATCTTGTGTGTTGTCAATCTGTATATTACTCTTTTATTATTTAGGATTATTTAGGATAGAGGCCTAGTACATGGGTGGGGGCTGGCTGGTTTGCCCTGAAAGGTGTCCCAGATCAGGGTGAGGGTTTTCTTGGGGTAATGGGCAGCCTGTGTGAGAGGCCTGTCATAGTTTGCAGGCTAGTCACGCCCCCTGGCAACCAAACTGAGTCCCTGATATCTGGGATTTATGTGTCTTCAATCATTGAAATTTTGTAGCCTTGAGTGGAGCCAAGCCTCCTGCTCGCTCTGTGGCTGCAGCCAGTTTTGTTGGGATTTATTTATCTCTGTAACTGAAACTTTGTAGCCTTGAGCAGAGGCATCTGCCAACTAGGGCAGGCAGAAAGCTTGGCTTCCTTCATTGCTGAGGATACTCAAGCCCCCTGCTCTCTTCCTGGCTACAGCCATCTTGGTTGGGTTGATTTGCATATCTCCCCTGATTGGCTGGTGGGAGTGGCTTGTGGGTGTAGCAGAGATACAGTCAATTTGCATATTTCTGTGTTATTTGATAGGATATGGATTATTGCTGAGGTTCATATAAGGAAAAATCAAGAGAGAAAAAATTTTGGATTTACATTTAATAAATGAATCTTTTCTTCATTCAGACTTTTCTTATAGAATAACTTTGTTACAGAAAACTAGATATTTCATAAATTACTAGATGTAAACTGATACTGAACTTTTTTAATCTATAAATATTCATTTTGAGATTAATTTAGTCTAATTTCTCTTTTTGAAATATCATTTTGGTTTTTATTGTTTGCAAGGTTATTCAAGCTGAGTGAAATAAGCCAATCAATGAAAGAGAAACACCACATGACCTCACTCATTTATGGATAATAAAGAACTTTATAAACTGATGAACCAAAGAATAGATATAGAGACAGTAAAGCAACAAGCAGACTATCAAATTACAGAGGGAGGGGAGGGAGATCTGGGGGAGATAATAGATCAACCAAAGGACTTGTATACATGCATATAAGTACAACCAATGGACATAAAACTCTGGGGAGGGAGGGTATGTATGGAAGGGAGGGGAGGGAAATCAATAAAATATATAAAAAAATAAAATTAAATTAAAATTAAAATAATAAATAAATAAATAAATACAGTGTCAGACAAAGTTCTAAGATAGTGCTATTAAAGTATAATATTTATTTTTTAAATTATTTTTACCAAGTGGAGGAAAACTTAAAGGTCTAATGACTTTTGTGAAGGAAACCTTGCCTTTTTATGAACTATAGTCAATCTTTAATAAAATTCACCACCAATTTTACCACTATTTCATTTCTAGGGAATACACTGATTACAGAGCTTCATAACTAAAAATTGCCCATCTATATTCATGTGATTAATGTAACATGGAATTTACAAATTGAAATGCATAATGCTGGAAAAGTAAGAATAAAGGCTTTTATAGTAATGCAAAAAAATAAAATAAAAAAAATAAAAGAACATAGCATTTTTGTCATTACAAATGTTATGACTATGGTGAAGAGGTGATTGAATATTGAAGGAATGTCTACCTTTTAGTTTTATTCCTGGCTATTTGCCCAGTTCTTTTGAGGGACTTAATAATTTTATTTCCTGATGATGCCTAGAGGCAAAAAGAGAGTATCTAGTGGTTCAAAACAGCTTGAGTGAGGTGAGGGAAGAGAGCAGAAAAATGATCTGTTATCCTAGTAATATACTACTGAGGATTCTTAAGGAGTTTCCTAAAGAAAAATCTTTATAATTAAATGATCATTTAATCCCAATTTTACAATTATTTATTCAGTTTAATTCCTAGTATTTCACCTTGTGATGAGAGAGAAAAAAAATGCCTGAAATAACATTGTAAAATGTGTTAAATTGATGTATGCTCATGTGGTCTTTAGATGCTTCATAAAGTTAATGATTTTGTTTCAGAAATATGAGATGACATCAGACACGTGGCTCTCCAAGCAGGTATGGTATATTTGGTTTCTTTATGTCACATTTTGGCCATTGTGCACATCCAGTTCACCCATTTGTAATTTGATACCTTTCCAAAGTTATTTTAGAAATATAACTTTAAGGCTTTACATGTTTAACTGAGGATTTTCCATGAAAATATTTATGACTTAGCATTTTTATGCATATTTATGAAAATATTTCTTATTTATTATAGGATATAAGTTGCAGAATAACAATCATTCATTGTTGGGATTGTTCATATAAATAAACTTTCATGCAGATGAAAGAAAAAAAAAAATAGAAACTATTAACTGTGCTCAGATTGCCAATAAATTGGTTCTGTGGAAATATTCATATGAGCACTTCCTCTGTTAGATATATCCTAGCCCACAGTTCTAGTTTGTGAAACAAATGAATCTGGAATCTAAATGATCACAATAAAAAAGTACCAAATGTCTCTACGACATGGTCTCATACTGGACATTTCAGAAGTAAACCCAAGTAGATCATCCACATAGGTCTGAACCCATTTTACTAATAACTCAATCACTACTTTTTCCAAAGAGGAGTGTTTTATTTGGTTTGTTTTATTTGTTTGTTTTTTTTCCTTTACAGTCATCTTTTATTTTATATTCTTTTCCTAGTTCTCATCCATATATATGGTTTCAATTAACATCCATACACTGAGATCTCCAACCAACTTGCTTGCCTGATTCTGAAACATCTACACTCATGCTTGGTATTTCCTCCTAAATCTATAAAAGTTCCACAGGTACAAACTGAACACATCTCTTTTCTATTCAGTCTTATGTTTTCTTATCATAGGAGTCAAGGAGTTATCCATCCAGCTATTAAAATCTTAGGTCTGTTCTTAAACTCTTTCCCAACCTTACCTGCATATATTCTTCACCACACCTTTGATCTTACTTTCAAAGATCTCATGTTATTTTTCTACAGTTCATAAACTCTGTCCAGCATTAAACCACAGGTTCTGCAGTTCTTCTTTAATTGGTGCTTGCTCAACCCCTAAGGCACCTGCCTAACTGTTCCTCACATTGCAGGCTGGCTGAATGACCTTGTAGAGATATAGATTTGATCACTACCCAACTCACCCTCATACTTCAATCTTACAACCAAAACATTTTTTGTCTATCCTTTTATTTTACAGAAAAAGATCAACATTTTTAAAGGGTCTATAAGGAATTACATTGAAAGTATTTTCAGCTTTGTGCCATACCTTGCTTTCAATTGTTTTCTTCACACATGAACTCTTGTACTCATGAGGCCTTTATACGAACCATTTTTTTTTTCTAAAGAGAAGTCGCTCAACTAATTTCTAATGTAAAGGTTTCTTATTTTACAAACCTTACCATAAATCACCTACTTAAGAAGTCACCTCCTCTAACTATACTAACAAAATCACTTCCCGCAATAAATTTTATTTTAAAGTCAAGTGTAATTTTTGTGTAATACACAATTACTTCTGCGTTTTCTTTACTGAGTTAACCAGAAGAGGTAGGATATTCATTTTTTTTGTTTTGTTTTCCATTGTAAACTAAATGCCTAATATAGAGTCTTGTTAAAAGTTCAATAAATCTTTGCTGAATAAATAAATAAAAGGGTAAATAGATTAAACTTTTGCTTTGTTGAATTATACACATGTAGGCATATGTATATATCAGATATATACCTATTATTTATATTAATATCAATTGCTTATTCTTAGACAATGTGCAAAATGAAATTGGGGCAAAAACCTTGATTTTTGTAGCCAATAATAAACTCTCACACACAAAAAAAAATGCCGAAACCGATTTGGCTCAGTGGTAAGAGCGTCCGTCTGCGGACTGAAAGGTCCCAGGTTCGATTCTGGTCAAGGGCATGTACATTGGTTGCGGGCACACCCCCGGTAGGGGGTGTGCAAGAGGCAGCTGATTGATGTTTCTCTCTCATCGACATTTCTATCTCTCTATCTCTCTCCCTTCCTCTCTGTAAAAAATCAATAAAATATATATTTTAAAAAATAAAACATAAAAAATAAACTCTCACAAAATTAATTTAAATACTGAAAATAAAAACAATGAAAAACAATAATATATGAATATTGATGTACTCTCAATTGTCCCAAGTATTAAACCTAGTTTGCTATAATTTTTATTGTCAGTTACATTCATAACTGTCTAACATACACCAACATAATACATGCTTTTTTTGTATTTTGTTATCTACATTTTATTTTTATTTTTAAAATTTTATTTATTTATTTTTTTATAGAGAGGAAGAGAGAGGGAAAGAGAGTTGGAAACATCGATGAGAGAGAATCATCTATCAGCTGCCTCTTGCACACCCCCTACTGGAAATGTGCCCGCAACCAAGGTACATGCCCTTGACCAGAATCGAACCCGGGACCTTTCAGTCCACAGGTCGACGCTCTATCCACTGAGCCAAACCGGTTTCGGCTGTTATCTACATTTTAAATACCAGTTTCATGAATGTGTAATAGAAACAATTTTTAAGCAAAGAAACCAGTGATCAATTATTCAGTAAGAAAATGCAAATGATAGTTTGTCACAGTTGACTTTTTCTCCAGAAGCTTAAGGAAATTTCATTAAATACTTAGAATTTGATGAAATTTAAAAGATGAAAATGACAGTCGTTATGAGATGATGCACCATAATCATTATATGCTTACTTTCTGGAGAGCAGGAAGAGCAGAGAAGTGGATATGTTTGCCCTAGCTTCAAAAGACTTACAGTTGGGATAACCAATATATAAACTGTTTGGTCAGGGATGAAGTGTATCCTCAATTCACTGCCCTGTGTGTCATAAACACTGACTTGCTTAAGGTTGTGAGGATTGACAGTGATGTTGGCTCCACTTTCTTTACTTGATTGTAGGAGAGGGTTCTGCCCAAAGTGGTATGTTCATAGTTAGAACCACCTACTGCTGCAGGTTGTTAAGCCCAACTATGCATTAAAGATTAGAGTCCTCATCTTTCTTTACTGAATTATTTTTAAAGCACCAGATTTGGAGGGCTAATATAAGAAGGGAGGATGCTCATATATTCTCATGGTGTAAAAATGCACTTCATTTTTGAAGCAAAACACAAATGGAGAATGTTGAGTAGAGGGTGAGCTAATAGGTTGGATTAAATGTGATTATATATATATATATATATATATATATATATATATATATATAATATTTTTGTCCATTGTACACATGCATTATCTATTTAGTTATGATTTGGACACTTATTATGTCCTAGACAATAGAGCTAAAAAAGACAAAATTGCAAAATTCCTCTAATTATTACTTGCCTGGTGAAAAAAGTCAAGCATATAAGAAAGTACACTGCAAGCCAGGAAGAGATGAATAAAAAGTTTAGAATCTCTGAGAAGAGATTTCTTAACTAGGAGATACTCTCTAACTAGAAAAATTTGGAAAATATATTTTGTTTCTCGAGTTTAAGCAAAAAATAAGATTTACACAAAAAAAAGGAGAGAGAAAGAGAAATATAACACAGGAGATAGTAATGAAATATAAATTATCTCATAATTGAAAGGTGTGATTTAGAATCAAGTATATTTATTATATACCCAGCAATGCAATTTTTCCACCTTTTGAATTGCATGTTACTTCAGATTTTAAATTATTCACATACTAGTATATTGTCTTATATTTTCATGAATGTCCATGAAGTAGACAAGTGAAATATTGTTCTTATATTTTTATCAATATATATTCTTAATAATAAAGATAGAATGAGACTTTTGATATTATGAAAATAGTTATTAATTTACTTATTCATTCAGGAAATAATTATTAAGCACAATTATGACTGCTGCTGTTCCAGGTTCTGGAGCTAAAGCAGTGGAGAATACAGGTTCCTGTACCATGGGGCTTCTATTCTATAGGCACTCTACCTACTATGCAGCTAAACACCCACACACGTAAGAAATTCATATAGAGTTCAATGACCTGGCTTCCTTGGTCACCCTTTACATAAAGTAATCAGGAAATCCCTCTCTGATAAGGTGAAGTAGAGCAGTGGTATGAAAGATTAGAGAAAGAGCCAGATAGGGCATAAATAGCACAAAGGTGCTATTTAGAAGAAACATGTACAAAAAGGCAACAGGAGTACTGAAGAAGGTGAGATCAGAGAGAGTAGAGGGCCAGATCATCTAACAAGGGCCTTAAGCCATTTAACGCCCTAGAGAGGAAATCCTATCAAAGCCTTTCATTATGCCATATGTATAATCACTTTCAGTAATCCAATAAGAAAGAACACAATCTTTAGTCAGGTAAATCCATTTCCTTAATGTTCCCCCTGAAGCAAGAGAAAGCAATCTATGTGTAGTTTCCATAACTTAATTATAAAAAATAATTTTCTTAATTTAACATGCCACTAGAGTTTAATTTAAAAAACATCAACTGGGCATGTGGGTTTGTGCAGGGGTGAGCAGTAAGGATGGGGGATATGAATGAAATGTTTTTCAACAGATTCCTTCCTATTTTGTGGCTTTTTGAGTTTTTACTTTTAATAAATTTATGTATATACCACTAGAAATGTTCCTTCAAGAATGCAGAGTTGCTGAAATTTTCAGAAAAATATATTAAATATTATATTATAAAAATTTCTAAATTAAAAACAAATTATTGAATATTTTGGGCAGAAACTGGTTTGGCTCAGTGGATAAAGCATCGCCCAGTGGACTGAAAGGTCCCAGGTTTAATTTCAGTCAGGGGCATGTACCTTGGTTGCGGGCATATTCCCAGTACGGGTTGTGCAAGAGGCAGCTGATCAATGATTCTCTCTCATCAACATTTCTAACTCTCTATCCCTCTCTTTTCCTCTCTGTAAAATATCAATAAAATATATTAAATAAATAAATAAGTAAATAAATAAATAAATAAATAAAATAAAAGCAAATTATTTTAATAAACTGGTGAAGGTGCTTATATTATTCTTATTTTTAAGAATAAATTGCTAACCATAACCGTATCTTCTATAAAAGATATGAAAGTTCTTTTGAGCCAATTTAAAAACTGTCTTTAGTTTAACTGTAAATCATCTGTATCCTGTGTTTAAGAAACATCCTATCTTTCCCATCACTCAAACACACACATACACATAATGCATGAGTTCACTTAAGATATAGATCATCATACACTTTTTGACCATTTTCCAAACAAATTCTAAAATAAAAGCTGGTCTACTCCCTGCCCGCTTTAGCAATAGTTGGCAGCACAAATCTGTGCCATGTGAGACTGTCATGTCCCTTCTACATTTCAGGATGAGGAGCCCGTGTTTTCTAGAGATGGCAGCAGATTCTTTATGACAGTTCCTGTTAAGCAAGGGGGCCGTGGGGAATTCCACCACATAGCCATGTTCCTCGTCCAGGTGAGTGCTTCTTCTGTGGTTTGGTTTCATTGAGATCATGTTCATGAAGGCCCAACTCTGGTCGCCATTCTGAACCTACAGTTAATGCCTGGGAACCCAGCCATATATCCAACTTGGGATATAGGAAAAGGAATGCTAACCCATAGCCATAATCCAAACTGTGCCTTCTCACAAAAACAGTTTCAACATCCAACAGAATTCAGCAAGATACAAAGTGTGCTAGGAGTTGAGGGCCTTGGTATTTAGAATTTAATAAATAAAAAGTATCTAACTTCTACTTTCAAAGACTATAGAAAATCTAGAGGGTTTTGTTGTTGTTGTTGGTTTGTTTATTCAATAAATATATATCACCTATTTTTGTACAAGTAATACTTCCAAAGGGTTATAAAAGTTTTAATTGGTTGAAACAACCTAAATGGCCATCAGAAATTAAATAGTTGAATAAAGTATAGTATACCCACATAAGAAAATATAGTACAGTTATATTTTTATGGATTCCCAAACTATAGAGGGGAAATGTTTTGTGTGTGTGTGTGTGTGTGTGTGTGTGTTTCTCTCTAAGCTTCAAGTGAATGTTAATAGTTTATACAGTTTATCTAATTATAAAAAGTCATTGTTTTCATATTTTATATATATTGTGCTTCTATGAACATAGGGGTGCATATATCCTTTCTAATCGGTGTTTTCAGGTTTCTTAGGATATATTCCTAGAAGTGGAATCATTGGGTCAAATGACAGTTCTATTTTTAATTTGTTGAAATTTCATACTAGTTTCCACAGTGGCTGCATCAGTATGCATTCCTACCAGCAGTGTACTAGGGTTCCCTTTTCTCCACATCATAGCCAGCACTTGTCATTTCTTGATTAGTTGATGGTAGCCATTCTAACATGTGTGAGGTGATACCTCATTGTTATTTTAATTTGCATCTCTTTGATGATTAGTGACTTTGGGAAAATTTTCATATGTCTCTTGGCCATTTGTTTGTTTCCTTTGGAGAAGTGTTTATTTAGGTCCTTTGCCCATTTTTAAATTGGATTGTTTGCCCTCCTTTTGTTAAGTTGTATCAGTTTCTTATATATTTTGATGTATCACTGTCAAATTTTTATTGATGGTTTCTTTTGTTGTGAAGAAGATTTTTATTTTTATATAGTCCCATTTGTATAATTTTTCCTTAGTTTCCTTTGCCCTATGAGCTGTATCAGTAAACATATAGCTAGGGGAGATGGCTCAGATTTTGCTGAGTATGGTTTTTCTAGGATTTTTATGGGTTCATAACTTATATTTAAGTCTTTTTTTTTCTTTCCAGTTTTAGTTTATTTTTGTGTATGGTTTAAGTTCATGGTGTAGTTTCATTTTTTGCATATATCTGTCCAATTTTCCCAACATCATTTATTCAAGAGACTGTCTGGACTCCAATGTATGCTCTTGCTTCATTTATCAAATATTACTGGAGTGTAATGGCTTCTGTCAATTTCTGGAATCTCTGCAAAACTTCTTTTACTTCATACTATTAAACTTTTGATCACTTCTGATATTTTCCATTTATTTATTTATTTATTTATTTATTAGCATTTTTATTTAGATTTCTAACTTCTGAATTACCATATCTGAAACTATTACATCCTACATCCTGCAATGCAACCAATAGTCAGGAGAAAGGTTTTATTCTTCAAAGACATGGCCACTTTTTTTTCTCACACCCTATATAATAAAAGCCCAATATGCTAAGTGTCCGTGTGTCTGGATATCCCTTCAACCAATCAAAGCGAAATGTGCTAATGATATGCTAAGGCTACTCATGATATGCACTGACCATCAGGGGTCAGAAACTCAGACTGGTAGGTTAGCTTACTGCTGGGGTCTGGCCAATCAGGACTGAGCAAGACAGGCCAGATAGGCCCTGGAGCCCTCCCATGACCCCTCCCTGGCTGGCCAACCTCCTTCATTCCTCCCTGATCCCTGGCTATGATCATGTACCAGTGGAGTCCCTTGGCCTGGACTGTACCTTCTTGCAATCCGGAGATGTCAGAGAACTGGTTTTGGCTCGATGGCAGAACAACCAGAAGCTATGATGTGCACTGACCACCTGGGGCCAGATACTCAATGCAGGAGCTGCCCCCTGGTAATCAGTGCACTCCCACAGTAGGAGTGCCACTCAGCCAGAAGCTGGGCTCACAGCTGGCGAGTGCAGCAATGGTAGTGGGAGCCTCTCCTACCTTCCCAGTACACTGAGGATGTCTGACTGCTGGCTTGGGCCCACTCCTCAGGGGGTAGAGGCCTAAAGCATCAGTGAGACATCCCTTAAGGGCTCCTGGACTACGAGAGGGCAGAGGTCGGCTGAAGAAACCCCCGAGTGCATGAATTTTGTGCATCGGGCCTCTAGTATGAGATAAGAAGCTGTGTTTCAATCTTGTTAAGTGGTCCAGATTCATAAGCATAAGTGATTGCCCTGTCATCTTCCCAAATTGTGTTAAGGGAAAAATTATATTGGTGGATCCACTTGCTTCCTCTACACAGCATTACCACATTTTGCTCATGATAGCTGATGATTTCACTGGAAACAATTTTGAATGTTTATTCATTACAAATACTGTAGAAAATAGAATGCCTCATCCATAATTCTACCACCTAATCAACCCAATATAATTTTTCATTAAATTTCACTGCTGTATCTGATTAGGACATTGTCTGAAACAATTAGTTCACCTCATATGATGAATAGACAGTAAATTAAAGCATGCTATTTTTAAGCACTACAATATTTTCCTTATCTAGGCGCTCTAAAAGTTAAACAGAATATAATATAAGAAATTTGAAAGAACTGTGTGATCAGGTAAAAATCAAGTGAGTGCATTGTTAAACTTTTACTGATACCAATGCATTTCCAATTTGTAAATAGGAATATAAAATTAGTATTTAATTTTAGTGAGCAAAATCAAATCTGTACCAGTTAAAAGAGAGGTACCTAATGTCTATATGTCCTAAATAAAAACACATTATCTCTCTTCATCCTAGATTTTCAGCCCTCTTTTGAGAATGAATGAAATGATTCATTTTATTGCTGTTTATTTTAAAACTAAAAGTGAACTATGAGTTCAACTTAGAGTATATTGTCCTATTATCCTTGTCAAAAGTCTACTATGATTTAACTGTCACAATCAATGTTTCTGTTCAAACAAGTTAATATAATAAATAAATAGCATGGTAACACAGAAAGAATGATTATTTTGGAGTAAAAATGATTATTCTTTCCTGTTTTGTTAAATTATCTTGCTTGTGGTTGAAGGTGGTTAAATTATCTTGTTGAAGGTGGATGGGGAAAAAAATTGAGGTATAGGCACCCCCTCATAAAGATAGTTAAGTACCTTCATATGTATTTTGGATTTACAGTATGATTGTCTACAATGCTCTGATTGACATTGGGATTTTATATATAGAGTCTAGATCAAACTTAATATGCTCACTGCCATGATACAATCCCTTATAACTATAAACATAAAACTATAAAAGATAGTCTATGCTATTATATGTGAAATGTTGTACAGACTTATTCCTCAGCCCCGATTTGCCCTAGTAGAGAGAAAATGAGTAGGCAGTTACATATGTTTGAAGTAAAATCCAAAGGTTGCATGGCTGTTATAATGAATTTCAGCAAGAGTTCTCTTAGTTCTAGATTTAGAAGCATCCTAATTTGATTCTAGATGCATGATTGAAGTGAATAATGCACAAAGTATATTCTTGAAAACATTGGTTTCAGGAATTTCAAAGCATTGAATATTTTCTCATGATCACTTTTATTGTGGCCTTTGTGTTCAAAACATACACACACATTCTCTGAAAAAAAGAAAATATAATCAACCAAGAAATCTGTGAAATGAAAGCATCTCCAGATAAGTACACACATTGAACAAAGTTTAACTTTTTAATGCTTTGAGATATTTTATTCTTGAATTTGGGTAAAAAAATGTGAATTAACACCTTGAAATGTTAATGTCCTGTCATTGGATCATTCTAAGTAGGATCTGGAAATGAGTAAGGTGAACCATTAGTGGGAGGTTGTCCTTTAAGAATTTGGAATAAACTATGTGATTTTCAAAATTCCTTTGGGAAATGCATGTCTCAGGTCTCAGAAATTCTGTTTCATCTTTGCATTTATATTTTTATTCAACAAATACTTGTAAAGTGTTATAATGCAACAACAGAAAGTATATAAAAAGTTAAGAAGTCTTATGCTTTTTGTTGACCTTAAATGGCTAGATGTTTAGAATAAGAAGTAGACAATTTAGGGAAATGTCAAATACAGATTTGTACCAACACATAGGAAGGTTTTTGTTTGTTTGTTTTTTGTTTTTTTTGCATATATATATATATGTATATATTATCTAAAAAGTTACTTGAGTTTCTTGGATCAGTTATGAAAATTAGAGTATAGGATGTGTATTTAGATTATACAAATGTGACTATTCACAGGTGTGATATGCAATTTGCTTATATTAGAAAAATATTTTTAATCTTGAGAGATATATTATTAAAGTATTTAGAGCTGAAATAGCCTGATATATATTACTACCAAATGATTCAGCAAACAAGCAAACAAAAAGAAGTGAGGGCATATATTCAAAAGTTGACTTTTAGTAAATCTAGATAGAATTGTATGATACTCATTTACTATTCATTTAACCTTCTGTAGGTCTGAATATTTGCTCCATAAAAACAAAACAAATGAGTTACAATTTCATACTAATTTTTTATTTAAAAAAAAAAAAACAACAAAAAACATTAGCCTGATGAAATGAACTTTTGGTGCAGAAGTGAGAATGATGTGGAGCAGTATTACTGGTAGACTGTAACTTTGGAAAATGCTTTGTCACTAGCTAGTTGAGTGAAAGACATTAATTATATCCTCTGCCCAGGCAATCCCATTTCTTGTTGTTTGTCTCTTGTTGCTAGGCCATCATGAGACATTGATAAAACTGTTTTAGGCAACTTGTTTTAAAAAGCAAAAATGTGGAAACAGCTGTAAAAAATAAGCAACACATAAAAGTATGCTATAGTTATACAATAAAATACCATGTAACAATGAAAGTAAACTATGGCTATCAGCATCAACCTGGATTATTCACAGAAATAAATTGCTGATTGAAAATAGCACATGGTGTGAAGGTCAAAAGTATACAACCCTTACTATTTATTCAGAATAAAGTTTGTCCTGAAATGTTTTATTTAAAGCTGTCCATACCTCACAGCTGTCAATCATTTAGTTGAAACTTATCAAAGTCCTATGTCTGTCCCAAATGCCAAGATGACAGCCTATGACCAGAGGATGCACAGATGATCCTCTGCTAGAGATACCTTCTCAATGGTTTTCCTGCCCCATAAGAATAAAGACACTACCCTCCTTGTGTCTATCCTATCTAATAAAAGAATAATATGCAAATTGACCATCACTCTAACACACAAGATGTCTACCACCATGTGGACACAAGAATGCCGCAATAAGATGGCCAGCAGGGTAGGGCAGTTGGGAGGGACTGAGCCTGCAAGGGAGGCAATTGTGGGCGATCAGGCCAGCAGGGGAGGGCAGTTGGCAGGGATCCCACCTGCAAGGAAGAGAAGTTGGGGGCTACTGGGCCTTCAGGGATGGGCAGTTGTGGGGTGACCAAGGCCTGCAGGGGAGAGCAGTTGGGAGGGAGCAGGCCTACAGGGATGGGCAGTTAGAGGTGACCAGGCCAGCAGAGGAGGGAAGTTGGGGGCTACCAGGCCTGCAGGGAAGGGCAGTTGAGGAGTGACCCAGACCTGTAGGGGAGAGCAGTTGGGGAGACCAGGCCTGCAGAGGAGGGCAGTTAGGAGTGACCAGGCCAGCAGAGGAGGGCACTTGGTGGCTACCAGGCCTGCAGGGAAGGGCTGTTGGAGGGGGACCCATGCCTGCAGGGGAGAGCAGTTAGGGGCAATTATGTTGGATAGGGAGCAGTTAGGCATCAAACAGGCTGGCAGGGAAGTCTTTAGGGGCTGATCAGGCTGGCAGACAGAAGCGGTTAGGAGTAATCAGAAAGGCAGGCAGGTGAGCAGTTGGGAGCCAACAGGTCTGGATTGTGAGAGGGATGTCCGACTGCCCATTTAGGCCTGATCCTGGTAGGATCCTGGTAGGATCAGGCCTAAATGGGCAGTTGGACATTCCTTGAGTGATTTCAGATTGGATAGGGCGCAGGTTGGGCTGAGGGACACAAAGCCCCATGCACGAATTTTGTGCTTCAGGCCTCTAGTGTTTATATAAATGTGAGTACATTGGTTAGGTAGTAAATGAGAAACCAGATGTTGATAATTTAAGAATTAAAAGTGACACAAGCAGTTATGACTGTTGTGTTAACCAGAGAGATACTCGTTAAATTTTTTAAAAAAATAATTATTTCTATTTGTTTGCAGAGTAAAAGTGAGCAAATTACTGTGCGACATCTAACATCAGGAAACTGGGAAGTGATAAAAATCTTGGCGTATGATGAAACTACTCAAAAAATGTGAGCATGTTTTGGTTCTGAAGTCAGGATTGTCAACTGCAGTATTTTCTGCCAGATTTATGTTTTGCCAACTGTAGTGGTAGTTCAAACAACTTGGCCATGTAGCAACCTTTTCTTTAAAGACTCTCTCTATCCATCACCTAAAGAGACACTTATACAGACACTTTGTGCGCGCGCACACACACACACACACACACACACAGAGAGAGAGATTGAGAGAGATCATAAAACGTGTGATAAAATTTTAAGAAAAGTATGTATTTTCCTAAATGGATCTAAGTCCTGTATTAAAGTTCTGTGGTTAATAACAAAAAAGCGCTTCTATATTCTGGACAGTGCAAAAATTCAAGTGAAAACATCATGGAAAATGTTGATTTGTGCCTGATGCTTGCATTGTTTTCTTTCCTGGGCAGTTACTTTCTGAGCACAGAGTCTTCTCCCAGAGAGAGGCAGCTGTACAGGTAAGCTGTGTGCCAGGATCTCTCTACCCAGGTTGATTTCTCCATGGCCATTACACAACTTAATGAGAGGATGAAGCATTCTGGAGGTTTTTTTGTTTTGTTTTTTTTTTGTTTGTTTGTTTGTTTTAATGGCTTGGGGAGAGCCAACTCTGCATGACCTTCACACTCTTGGTTCAGACCCTCACTTCTGACCTTTATGATCCTCAAGGTTAGAACTAGAGTGCAGACAATATTGCTGCTCCTTTATTTTTTTTCTCTCATCTGCTTCTACAGTCTCAAAAAAAATTTTTTGAGGCTTGGTTCTCTTAACCACCAATATCACAGGCATTCACATATTTCGCCACTGGCCTTTCTTCGACTAAGCCTCATTTTGCACTTTCAGTGTGTGAATATTGTACACTTGCAGTTTATTTCGGAACAAAAGAAAGCATTGTGAACACTTATAGCCTGGATCCAGTGCACAAGTTTCTCCCCCTGTCCTCCTCCCCTCTCCCCGCCACATAGTGTGTGCAATCTATTAAGGTTATTTAAGCCAGCACTGCTTGTTGTTTACCAAAATAAAGCCATGGACGGGGCATATTTCCATCTGCCAATTTTCCCAAATGGAAAGCTATATTCATAAAAGGGACTTAAGGTCATATCCATACAGAATGGAAATGCTTCTTCACTCAGAAAGCCTTCAGCAGGAACTCACAAGAATGACTGTTGTTTTTGTCTGGCAAGCAACTTATTAATTCTAGACTTTATATATATACTTTCTAATTTCCATTTCACAGTTTTAAAGTGTCAAAACTGCCATGGCATTTTCTCAGTGGAAATTCATCATGTTTGAAGAAGTGTCACCACTGACTCTTACCAAGTAGCCTAGACTCTCCTTTGAGGGTAAAAATAAATGTTTAAAGTGCTCTAACTCTCTCTATTTCACCCATATACTCTCATGTATGCATATATTGCTTTTATCTGAAGCAAGCCTTTCCTTTTTATCACCCCTTCCCAATATGTCATTTTCATATCGTTTGTCTTTTCTCTTAGAGTCTAGAAGCCATAGTCTCAATCATAATGACTTTCAAGGAAGAACTGCTAGCTGTTTATTTAAAGACACTGATTTTAACTTTGGTTCAGATGTCTTCAATAAAGTACTGGTCACTTTTTTTTTTCTTTCTGGTTACTTGAAGCTTATCTTCCTTGAAATATACTATGGTATTGTCAGTCATGAACAATCCTTTAGATGTGGAAATACTTGACCAATATTTTATTTCTGCCATTTTATAAAAGTCTTAAAGGAAAAATTAGTTTCAGAAGATCAGACTTGGCCAGGTTGAACCAATGAAATTTCCTCAATTCCTCTTCCCATTATTAGCTTAAAATGTGATTTGAATCACAATGACTTCTTAGATTTGTGTGCTTGACTTATCTCTTTAGTGACTGAGGCAGAAGAGTCAATCTCTCTGTGACTGGAACTAGCATAGCAGGCTGTGCTATAAAGAAAATGTAGTACCAATAAATTCTCCCTTAAACAGCTCATCAAATGCCAGTTGGCTTGACTGTAAGATAATGTTAGTGTTTAATCCAGAAAACTCAATCAATGTCTTGTCCAGGCCATAAAAATAATCATTGGCTGACAATTTATGGGATTAGACACCTCTGCAGAATCAGCACTGCTACCATTTGATCTTACAAGTTTCATTTCTTATTTCAATAATCTCAAAGCCTAAATTATGAGAAAATACCAACATAAACCTCTCTATTATGAGAAAATACCAACAAGTTATATGGAGTCTAAAGTACAGGTTTTAAATTCTAGTAATGTCACTAAATATCTGAGTGTGGATAGTACACATTCTTAATCTCTCTGTGGTGATGGTTGCACAACATTGTGAATGTAGTCAACGACATTGAAATATACACTTAAAAATGGTTAAAATGGCAAATGTCATGATTATGTGTGTGTATATATATATATATATATATATATCACACACACACATATATGTATACACACACACATATATAAATATATATATATGTGTGTGTGTGAAACTGGCTACTGTTTAAGTGCCTAGTATATATTAATCACCCTTATTAGTAAAGGATCGTTATGATGAGCTCAGGATGCTTCAGCTATGATATGTGACTCTGTGAACTGTACTTGATTGCTTCTGTGCTTCTGATGCCCACATCAACACCCTGTCTTTGCCCCCAGCCCCATGCCTGAAGCATATTGCACATCAAAAGCAGCATGACCATGATTCATTTCCAACTGCATAGCCCAAATCATGTTTAATTTCAAAATAAAATTGAATATTTTGTCAAATCAAATTTCATTAAATGTATCATCAACAGTGTTGTTTTATCTATTAGCATAGATAATTTATGATTCATCTCTATAAAATAAATAATTCTAGATATGAAATTTAACCTTGGAGATATATCTCAACTCCTCTGACCTTAAGCACCACTATTTGTAAAATAAAAAGATGATTGATTTTCTTTTTACTTACCCCCCCCCATGCTGCAAAATATGTATGGTTTTTAATTATATATATATATATATATATATATATATATATATAGACATAAAAATAACTTTCTTTACCAAAAATTCAGTGCAAATACTTAGTGGGGGAGAATTTCACAGTAATATCAAATTCCAGTGTTCAGAGTGTCAAATTGAGTAAATAATGAGCTTGGTATTTTGTGTGTGATTTGTGAAAACATTAGTTCTTTCAACTAACGTTTATTGATAATGACTTTATGTTAGTCTTTATGGGCAATTACTTTTAAGACTTTACAAAGTAATACCTACAGAGAAATGTAGTTAAGGATAAGTTTTTATTGAGTTCTGTGGTAGTCAGTTCTTTTTAATTTTATTTATAAGCATACAGGTGTACATAGTTATAATTTTGTTATAGAGAAGAAAAATGCCTACGTCTTAACATTTGGAATGGAAATTGACTTTCCATTTTTATGGCAAGTCATAATATATAAGGAACCTCAATGTAAGTAATGCGGGAGCTCCTCTGTTAATGTTAACATTAAAATACAGATGCCACAAAATCAAGTTACCTGGAATGGTAGCATTTCTAACATGTTTTTTTCCCCCCAGTGCATCTACTGAAGGATTATTGAATCGTCAATGCATTTCATGTAATTTTATGAAAGAACAATGTACATATTTTGATGCCAGTTTTAGTCCCATGAATCAACATTTCTTATTACTCTGTAAAGGTAACAGATAATTTCTGATAAAGTCTATTTTATTGATTTATATGGTCAGCATTTATTACTATCATTAATAACTATTATTCTGTAGCTATATGACTTATTTTTAATGTTTTTTTAAGTTATAAATTATGGATTTACTGTGGTGCAAATTATATTCATAAGCTTCATTTAGAAATAAGATTGGAGAGTAAATACACAGAATCAGAAAGAACTATTTAAACATTAATGATTTTTAAAAGTCATGCCACAATAATAAACTAACTTAGCTATATTTAGAAAAACATTAGTCATTAAAATAATGGCTAAGTTGTTAAAATATTTAGTATATACAGAAATTTAATTTTCTGGGACTGGCCCCTTTCAATTCTGACAAATTACACTTACCCCAATTATTTATTCTATCTATGGATAGAATTAGTATAGTCTTTGATAGAGGCATGATATCGCTAGGTTATATTGATAGAAATCATTGTCCCTTTAATAGAACACTATATTTCCCAGTGATGAAATGGGAGACCTGTCCTCCCATAGCATTTTCAATTGAGGGCTACTGGTTCAGCCAGTAACCTAGGCTGTCCTGTTTTAAGACAACACATGGAATGAACCAATATTTACCTAAGTCATTTAAATTAATTTTATTCTTGATGTCTGAAATGAAGTAATAAAAAAAAGAAAAGTACTTGTTTGATGTCACCAGGGAAAAACCATTAGACCTCTAGATAGAATTTCCTAATTTATGATTCATCTCTATCGAATCATAGAAGATAAGTTTCTTATGCTTACACCTGAATTAACTAGTATATTTGAAATAATTAGTGATTCCAGTTAACATATTTAAAAAAATAATACATAATCAGCTCTAATTTTTATTTATCTTGTGGATTAAATAATTCCAATATGCATAGATTCTTTCTTTCTTGGCTGAGTGGATAAATAGAATTTAATTTTGCTTGAGCAGATGATGGAGAGTTCAAAGGTCATGAACCAGCTTTCTGAATATCTGTGACTAATCTATAAGAGACTAGAGAAAGAGAAAGCTAGGTGCATAATTTTGGCTTAAAACTACAGAAATATGGACGCATGGGGCATTTTGGATAAGGGGGAATCTTAAAATTAATCTATGCAAATAGTTCATCTCACCCTATGTTCTTATTTTCTGAATAAAATATTCATAGAAAGGAATGAAATCTAGTGGACTTGCTTCTGTTTCACTACATAATTATTTCCTAAATTTCTTTAAAATGTTTATACATATATTTTTTAAAATCCAGGTCCAGGGGTCCCAATGGTCAGCCTACATAGCACGGACAATCCAGCAAGTAAGTACATAAACACAGCAACACAAAAGAGTCATGGTTGGTGCTGGTCTTAAGTTTGATATTATTCATTCTGAGTGTAAGTCTTTAGAACTTTATTCAAAGGAGTTCCCAGCATGAGGAAAGCTGTATAGAACCATCAACTTGACCTGTGCATGCAAAAACAACAGTAAAGCAAGTGGATTGAACCAGGTTACAACTGGAATTGGGTCTGAAATAGGGTGTCCACTATGTCTCCATTAAATGAAGAGGGACTGATGAGGCTCCTTTAGGGATAGTACTTCATTCTACTAACCCGTGGTACTCTGGGTTTATTTTTCTGGGCCTCATAAAAAGTATTCCTCTAGAGCACATGTGTCAAACACAAGGCCCGCGGGCCAAATCCGTCCCGCCAGGCCTTGCAATGTGGCCCGCACCGCGCTGTCATCACTGCACTCCGCTGCGTTTCCATCACAATGACAGTTTATGACTGTTCAGTAAACCATTCGGCCCGTGATTTAGGCTGGATTTTAGATTTTGGCCCCTTCTCTGATTGAGTTCGACACCCCTACTCTAGAGCAACACATTTTTTGTAATTCTGGTAAAATTATGAAAAACATTATTTTAGATTTTTATTCTATTTGTTCCATATATTCATGGCTATATATATATATATATATATAATTTATTGTTTAATATATTTATCCAACTGTCCATTATTTATTGGGTGAGCACATATTTTAGAAAGCCATATGACCGAGGCTGGATGTACATTGCTGGTAAGACAAGGACAATATGTTTAAGAACTTATAGTAGAGTGCTTAGGTAAATACATGGTTGAGCTAATCTTAAAAATCAATAACCAGATTGTTGCCTGTCACCCAATCTTCTTACTTTTTTCCATATTTATTTTCCTTCTTCCAGTTTAACATTTTTATTTAATCAATAATCTTATTCTCTAATAATTTATGTAGGATGCTATAATCTACCAAATTAGGCTTATATTTATTATTTTATTTAATCCTCAGAACACCTCCTGTAAAAGTTAAATTTATTATCCTATTTTACAGAAGAGGAAATTGAGTCAGAGAGGTTAAATAACTTGGCTAGATTCATACTAGTAGGTGACAGAGCCAAGAATCCAATGTGACAATCTGACTCCAGAATAGGGTTTTTCATCACTACTACAGGATGACACTTTGTGTGATTGTGTTTTTGTCTCTCAACTCACATACTTATATATTAAGTAGGAGTTTTACTGAAATGCCTAGACTTAAAGAAGATGCAGGCATAAAAAATACAATGTTTAATTACAAATGTCAGTTTTAGAGAACAGAGGAAGACCTTTTATACTAGACAAGAAAATAAAAAGGGGCTGTGAACATGGTCTGGTGATTAAATTCCCCTTCAAAAGACAATTATTAAGATGAAATGTACATTTAGCTGTAACAAAATAAATCTTCTGGTTAGTTGCTGTTACTCTACTGAGGCATTAATAACTCATTTTTGGGTCACATAAATTAGAACATGGCATAAAAAGAAAATGAAATAAAAATATGAAAATTTTTAATAAACATAGAAAACCTTTAAACCCACTAGTTACCAAAAAAATGCAAAGTAAAATGCTGCTGTGTATTTTTTCTAACAAATTGATAACATCATAATTTGCATTGCTAATGAGGATATAGTGAAGATTCTCTTAACTTCCTGGTAGAAATATAAATTATAACAAATATTTTTAATAAATCATAAAAGTTATAGATATATCTTTTATATCTATTTATTCAGTTTTTTTAAATAGTTTATGCTGAGAAAATAACTAGAGAAAATTATAACAGGGCTATTGATGATCTTGGAAAAGCATATATAAATAACAAAAGAGAAAATTTATAAATAAACCTTAATGGAATATGCATTGGTGTGCTGAATATCTTCCATTTTTCCTTCCAGATCACTCTTAACTCTGCTTTGCTCTTCCCTGGTCTCTATCCCAAAAATAGTGTGTATGGGTGACTTAGGTTCTATTGATATTGTAATTTGAATGCCAATTGAATTTAGCTAAAGTGAAATGAATCATGTAGGTGATTAAAGAAAGGAGAAAGTGATTTTTAAAAAATTATTAAATTGTTTCATGTTGACATATTGCAGGTATCCCCTTTTTCCCCTCTTTGCTCACTCCACCCACCCCCACCTCCCTATCCCTTGGCCTTCACCAAAATATTGTTCTTTTCCATGAGGTATGCATAGATGTTCTTTAGCTAATCCCTTCACCTTCTTTATCCAGTAAATCTCACCACCTCCCCTTGGGTATTGGTGAGTTGGTTCCATGAATCCATGCTTCTATTTTGTTTGTTAGTTCATTTTGTTTATTAGATTCTACATATTAGTGAGATCATATGGTTTAAGCAAATGATTCTGGTGTAGCAATTCCTCCAGCCTTATCCCTGTGGAGTCTTCCAGGTTGCTACAACTCATGGCTAGAGGTCCTTGTGGAACAAACATCTTCAAATAACTGCTCTCACCCCTTGTCTGTAGGAAGCCACTGTCATACAAGCCCTGGGTTATTGCACTATTTCTTGTGATCCTTTGCCCATTGTCCAGATATTTGTAAATAGTCTTTTATTAAAATGTTATGAAATTATTCTAAAAAGGTGCCATTAGTTTCCTCCTAGGATAAAAAACATGTTGGGAGGGGACTTGGGAGTCTGGGTGAAAATAATGAAAGGAGGAAGAAAAACATTGGTAGTTACAAAGGAGTCACAGTATGTAGAGCATAGGGAATATTCCCCATGCTGTAATAACTTTGTGTGGTGTCATGGGTACCGGAATTGTTGTGGAAACACTTTTGAACATTATATATGTCTAACTGCTATGTGCAACTTGGGCATGTGCCCTGATAAAAATCAAACCCGGATGCTTAAGTCCATAGGCTGACTCTCACTATCCATTGAGCCAAACCTGCCAGGACTCTTTAAGAATGTTTATGTTACATTTCTAAGAGATTAAGGAGCACAAATGTTTATGCCACTTGAACAAAACTATTTGAAAATGAATAGAAGATCTCAGGAAGAAAATATTTTCAAATGTTAAATAAAATTCTTGTATCTACCTGGCAGCCTTCCAGGTGATTTTGATTTTTTTTCTTCTTGAGTGTTCTCCTAATGCTTATATATATATATATATATATATACACACACACACACACACACACACACACACACTATATATTACTATATATTACTATATATTACTATATATATTTATACATATATATTTATACTTATACATATACATATATTTATACTATATATACATTAATATATTTAGGCTAGAGGCCCATTGCATGAAGATTCCTGCAAGAATAGGGCTTCTTGCAGCCAGAGCAAAGCAGAGAAGGGAGCGGAGACCACTTTGGCAGACTTCCCTCCTATATCTGCCTCCACCTCGCTTCCCTCCCATCTCTGCTGCTTCGCTCCCTTCTCCAAAGTTTCACTCCCTTCTGCAGCACTTGGCTTTCTTCTACACTGTCTTCAGTATTTGCTCCACTGTCTTTAGTCTTTGCTCTGCTGTCTTCAGTCTTTGCTTCCTGCCTACATATGCAAATGAACACCCATCTTTGTTGGGTTAATTTGCATAGTCACTCTGATTGGCTGGTGGGCTTAGCAGAGAAATGGTCAATTTGCATGTTTTTGTTTTATTAGTGTAGATATCTCTTTTATGATAAAAAAAAGAAGCCCTTCATTAAAATGCTCAGTGACTTGAGATAAGGTGTAAATATGTACATTTTAACTTTAATATTTCAAAAGTCCTTTTGCTTCACATTACTGTTGTTCTCTTTCCTGTTTAAATAGTTTATCTTCTTTATTTTGCATATATTATTCTTTTCTTTTACACTCATTTTTGTCTCTCCTTTATTTTTCCTGTCTTTCTATTCCACCTATTTCTTCTCACTTCATGCTTCTACTTTTTCATATGTCCTTTCTTTCTTCTTCACAATTTTCTGTCTCACTGTCTTCTCTTTTATCCTCAATCTTGCACTTTCTTGTCTTCACAACGTTTTACAAAAAATGTGTATTAAGCATAGTTTCTGATTTGTCATAAAAAATGCTCTCTGCTCTTAATATTTTGAAAATGGCTTTTAAAGTTTCTGTATATTTTTTCTAAATATAATTTATTTTTTCTGTGACCACAAATGAATTTTTATGAATAAATAATGGCCTTTGATTTAGAAGTGAAAATTTATCAACTGCTCCTACACTCATGCAATTAGTTTACATGTAATTAGGTTTATTTTTTTAATTGATATTAGATAGTAAAGAAAAACCATGAAAAGTTATCAGTATGTTATTGGAGAGTAAGAATGGAGATAGAAATTGAAGTTCAGGAAGGTTGAAGCTTTTAGTAATTGGGGCGGTGAAAATCCACCAGCGAGGAAGAAGAGCCAGGGAGAAAGCACCTTCGCTGTATGCACAGTGCTGCGAGAATTCTCTGGAGCCTGCTGCTGAGAATGCTGGAAGCATGCAGAGGAAGACACTCTCTGAACCTAGGAAGTTCAGAGCTCACACAGTGCTGGAATGTGTTCTACTTCCAACCAGGCAGGAGACTGTAACATTTCGGAGAGATCCCAGAAGAAGCTGGCGTTAGCAAACTATCCACATAGCAAAGTCACTTAAACCTACACTGAATAAGATATTTGGAATAATAAACCTGACCTGCAAGGAGCCTAAAACATCTACCAGAAAGAATAAAGCCCAGTGATTTTTCAAAGAACAGAGTGAAATACATAACATTAGAATGGTTAGAATCTAATCAAACATTCCTGCTATGTGGTGTTCCTCTGGGCAGGATGGTTCCTGGATTCTTGTCAGGCAGAGTCAAAGAATGAAACCACGGACGAAAGGTGGCATAGCAAAAGGTGGACTTTTATTGAGAGACAAGCACAGACTCCCATACGGTGAGGAAAAAGAATCCCACTGAGTCCCTTTTTTCCATAGTTTATAAAGGCTGCAGGTCTTTGTGCCTTG